CCCCAAAACCCCAAAACCCCAAAACCCCAAAACCCCAAAACCCCGGGTAGGAGATCTTAAATTGAATTTGTTTGATAAATTTTAAATATGAAAGCAAGTGACAAGATTAAGGCAGCGAAGATGAGAAAGATGGCACAGAAGGAATCGGAGATTGATGCTATGACTAATGATCAAATTAAATAATGAGCTGAAGGACAGGAAGCTGCAGGTGTTTGGGACGAATCATGAAAGAAAAGAGAGACTTAAGAAATTTCATGGTGTGAGAAGCAATGGAAGTAATCAACCAGAAATCAAGAAGAAGGTGACAGGATCCAAATCCAACGTTGTTGATAAAATCAAAGCAATGGAAGAGAAGAGAACAGAAAGGAGAAGGAAGATGGAAGAGGAGAAAGTTGCTAAAAGAGAAAAGGCAGCTATAAACCAAGCAAGAGGAGAAGGTATGATAGATATTGACTTCCAAAATCTTATGGAAACATCCATGATTTCTTCAGCTAAAGCTTATCCTCATGTTCCTTTGAACTATGCTAAGATCTTTGTATGCGTGAGAAAGAGACCTCTATTTAAAAAAGAAAAAGAGTCTGGACAAATCGATTGCGTTAGCGTTGCAAATCCTGTTATTAGAGTTGGAGAGCCCAAGTACAAAGTTGATGGAATTACTAAATTTATTGAGAAGCATGACCACCGGTTTGATAATGTTTTTAGTCATCTTGAAAATAGCGAAGATATGTACAAGTCATGCATTAGGCCGATGTTAGATAAGTTATTTAATGATGGAGTTGCTACCATTTTTGCTTATGGACAAACAGGGTCAGGAAAAACTTTTACAATGGTTGCTTTACAGGAGCTAGCGATAACAGATATTTTCAGTCTCGCTGAGAACGACTATGCTAGCCTTGACCCTCAAGTTTCACTAAGCTTCTATGAGATTTACAGTGGTAGAATCCTAGATCTTTTAAACAATAAGAAAAGACTGCAAGTCCTTGAAGATGGATCCAACAAGATTCAGGTGAAGGGTCTCCAAGAGATCTCAGTTGAGAGTGAAGAAGAGCTTAAGGAAGCTATAAATTATGCAAACAGTATTAGAACCACAAAGGCGACCCAAGCCAATGATACTTCTTCAAGATCGCACGCAATTATGTGAATCAATATTAGAGATGGAGAAGGAAGCATCATTGGAAAATTTCTGATGGTCGATTTGGCTGGATCTGAGAGAGCTCAAGACATTAGAAGCAATAACAGAGAAAGAAGAGCAGAAGGAGCCGAGATTAATAAAAGTTTGTTAGCACTAAAAGAATGTATTAGAGCTTTAGATAATGCGAAAGGAAATAAAGAAGCTCATGTTCCTTTCAGAGCCTCAAAGCTAACTATGGTGTTAAGAGACTCCTTTATGGGCACTAAGAAAAATATTTGTATTGGTATGCTCGCTTGAGTGTCGCCAGGATATTCCCATGCTGATCACTCTTTAAACACTATAAGATATGCTGAGAGACTAAAAGAGTTTTTACCTGAGGAGGAATATGCCAAGCTTGCAAGTGAGTCAGGAGGTAGCTTACCAAAAGCCCCTGAAAAGAAGAAACCAAAGGCAAAGAAGCCTCCAGTGCCTAAAGAGTCTAAGAAAAAGCCAACAAAAGTGATAACTAGAGCTAAGTGGGGCAAGATTGACAGGGTTAAATATTCAGAAGGACTAAAGCCTTCTGAAAATGTGGATGATGACGATGGAGATGATGAAAACCAAGAAGATCTCATGCGTACGAAAAAGGGAGAGCTAGAAGACTGGAAATTATTGAAGCAGACTCTGAGATCTGGAGGAGAAGATGACTTTATTCCAATGGATCTTCAAGAGAAAGCTGATATGTTACTTGAAAAGAAAGAAGAGCTGATTAGCAAACATATGAAATATATCAGACAAGTAGCTTTAATGCTTAAACAAGAAGGTGAGCTTATCACCCAAGTCCAGGGACCTGAATGAGATGAAGAAAATTATGTTCGCAATATGAGAAAGGTTGTGAAACAGAAATTAAAGATCTATCAGGACCTAGACAAAGACTTAGAGGAAGTTGATCAATTAATGAAAGAGGAAGAAGAAGCTTACAATTTAGCAAACGCTAAGTAATAATATAAGTGAATTCTATCCCATATTTTAATTAGGGGTTTTGGGGTTTTGGGGTTTTGGGGTTTTGGGG